CATTCAACTTGAATGATTTCCCTGACTGAGCACTATTTCTTTATCCAACTAGTTACCCTCGCTATAGTTGGGAACAACAAACTTCAATTTGAAAAAAATCCTCATTGTTTTATGAGGATTGAACCTGCATCTCTCTCTACAGTCCGTCATTCAACAGTGTGTCCGGGTATAATGCAACTTCAGTAAAATCATGCTTTCATAATGTGGAAGGCGATTTTTGAAACAGCAAGTCCGTTTGAGGAATGCATTTTTTTTTTTTTATTTAATCAAGAGTTGAAAGCCATCGGATTATCTATTTCTGTTGTGAATAAAGTATTGAACAAAATGAAAATACTAGTAGAATTGAATTTCTTTTTTTTTTTTCGTTACACTTTAAAAACGAAATTTGAAGAATGATGTATAATGTTTTAACAAAATTAAACGCAATTTGCTCACTTTTGGCCATTAGTGGCCATCTTGAACTTGCCATTTCTCACATCACCACTTGTTTCTGATTTGTTTCATAAATATTTTTACCGAGACTTCCATAAAAATACAGCGTGTGCTTAGGACTAAACGATAGAAGCGAAAATATCAATAATGCGAGATTGATAATTTGAAATATAAATATTTCGTTGTTCTATATTTACAAAGTAATAACATTTACAATATATACAATCATAATTAATATAACTATATATTTACAATATATACAATTATAATTAATATAATTATATATTTACAATATATACAATTATGATTGTGTATAAATTACTTTGGTAAACTTTGCTCTGACTGATCGTCATCTGTAACAATAGATTCATGATAACTAAAATATGCGATGGACACTTTTGATTGAAATCTATCTAACAAATACTCCGTCAATGGTTGTTCCATGTTTTGTTGCGCTTTCGTTTTGGATCATTCGAAATATCCAAATCTAATGTTGATTTCATAAAATAAAAAAAACGCTTCGATGCGTCTTTTGAGAAATGAACATTGACATCTCCACTCCAAATCATTGGTGAGGAGATATTTTAGTCCAAATTTTCAATACAGTCGTTACTATTTGTTTTGTTTTTTCTTCCGAACTTTTTCCTGTCTTCTTCCCTTTGAGACTCTCTAACTCGGCGTCACGTCAAAATACAATTTTGGATAATAGCTTATTACAAAGAGAATGAAATGCTAAAAATTTTCATCTCAGCTCCGAATTTCTTCAGGTTTTTGAGATATTTTAATCAGCATGCTCAAAAAAAAAAACTAGTTATCATTTGGTTTTTGACACAATCCTTTTCCCTTTTTGGCTTCTCTGACAGCGGACTGATGCAGGGGATCCAGCGGGATATAGAAATATCGATAGTGAATATTTTTGTCGAAAATTACATAAAAGGTTTCTTCATACATCGGCTCAGCTTAGACTAAGGAGAATTAGCCGAAACAAAAACAAACAATATCAGTAAACATGATTAGAAACATCGAAAGTTGAGAGCTATTTATCCAGCCGTAGGTTACGAAACGAACGCTCAACATCTGTTTGTAAACATTGTGCTTATTCTATTGCCTCATTTAATTTTTCCAGATATGATTACTATTTCCAAATGCCTATACTTTATAATATTATTATCAATGGAATGAAAGTTTCACAATTTTTCAGATTAAAAATTAATCTACTATTTTCAAGAAAGAGTGAAAAATATTTAATATTTCAAAATACTATAACATACGAAGAAGCTCTCTACACATCAATATTCAACTAATTATAGATTCAGCATACATTGTAGTTTAAATATTTAATACTTTTATATCCTGTTTTTTTCCGGCTTTGGAAATTATTAAATTTTAAATATTTCAATCCCAAAAATTAAGATAGTAAGCACCTTTTTTTATCATTTAAACTATAAAAATACAATACCAATGAACACAAAAGATTATAAAGTGAGTTTACGTAAGTTTTTAACTAACTTACACAATATCAGAATATTTTCAAAAATAAATTCATCGAAATTTGAATTCATTTCTCGAAATTAGGTACAGACCAGTTATAATTATGTTACATTATAGCCAAATGAGAAAATTGGTTAGCAGGACACATATAGAGATTTAATTTAAACTGTTGATTTACATGTTTTTATGCTGAACTCCGAAAGATTTTTCATAATATGGTGGTCTTAAAGCGGCACAGTGGAAAATAGATCCAGGAGCTATTTCTTAATTAACTTAGCAATTGTTACAGAATAAAAACTGATTTACAGCTAATTTACAACCTGAAAGCGAAAAAATTAATTAACGATATTTACGTAAAATTTGTTTTAAATTATATTACTTGTTAATAATTTATAGTTATAAATTCTATATTTTTAGATATTTGAGGTCGCGGGCAAAAAACCTTTTAAGTGTTACTACAAAACTAATTACACTTTATACTTCTTTATCTAATTAAGAAGAACTAATAAAAATTAATTAAAAATAAAAGTCATCAGAAAAATGTTAATTTAATTTATTTATTTATTAGTTACACATATTCTTGGCTCACAAGAAACTTCCCGTCTACCTCGGTATTCACCAAATATGATATCAAGGAGAATAAATGATAGCATAAAAAAATAAGAATAGTAATAACAAAACAAAAAGACAAAAAAAAAAAAAGAAAGAAGAAAAAACAGTAGTAAAATGAAAATAAGATAACATAATAACACACTTATATGGATTTGTAGCAGTAGATAGGGCTTGAGTAAGTGGATTTGAATTTAGAATCAGTATGTCATGAAAATTATTAAAACGGTCTGTGGTAGTTGCCGTGATGAAAGGAGTGTTAAGTTCAGTGTGTAACGTAAGGTTTGAAACATAAAAGGGTGTGTCTACACTTTTCAGAAGGACTTTTGATTGGAATGACTGGATGATTTTTATATTTAATGTCTTTGCTGTTCCCCATGTCCTAAGTGGTAAAATGTAATAAGAGAAATTTTGATCAAATAATGTTTTATTATCTCCATAAAATCATTTCAAAACATTTCGTGATTTTTCGTATACATGCCTGTTTTGAATTTAATCCCGCTAGATTGCTAAAACAGCCCACTGTGCGGCGCACTTCTTTACCCGAATGAGCGTTACATTCCTGACGGCTCAGACTCATTCACTACCCACAAAATTATGTTCTAAGCGCGCCTAAAGAAATTTTCACTTCGAAAAAGCCTCGGGAAAGTGGTTAATAAAAATATTATAATTTAATAAGTACCCGAGGTCATCGTCAAACTGTAACTTAACTGTCAAAACTGTAGTAGGGTTTGGAAAATACTTGACAACACTGCCTGTCAGGAAGTTCTAGAATATTTTTAAGGATGAGATTCAAATATGGACTTGCATCCATACAATTCTAATAAGTACATATAATTTCTGTTGTTTCACCTGTTACAACGAAATTCATTGAAAGAAGAAGCAGATAAATTCCAGTTGAAGCTATTCAAAATAGTCAAACATTTTGTGTAAGCAACAGACTTATGTACTTCTTATTTTAATCGTTTAAATTCAATTATGAATGAGGATCACAGCACTGCAACTAAAACCTTAACGAAATAGATTTTAATAATTACTGAATGAAGATATTTTAACATCCCATTTTTAAAAATAACTAAATAAACATGTGTTAAATTGTTATTTTATTTATTGTTTAAATTTGGCCATACCTTAGTTTTATGTTTCAGAATCCTAGACGATTGTTTATGTATACAAAAATACACACACACAAACAAAGCAAACACAATTATTGCCTGGAGCATAAATAAACTTTTTCAGGTGTGGTATTCAAAAGTGACGAAAGGCATGACCTACCATTCCAATATTCCTGATTTCTAACTAAATGAAGAGTCGTACTTCTTCAACTAATCGAACCTAACGGGACTAAATGCTTATGTGTTGGACACCCAAATAAAAACTTAGTTAAATTGAAACCAATTGGTTAAAGCACGTCAAAACTTCATATCTACTTATCAAGAAGATAAGAATGCTGTGAATCGTTTTAGCGATTAACTATATTTTAAAATTTCATGGGATATTTATAATTAATGATACATACGTGCCAGAAATTCCAATTGGAAAATACCGAAAAATGGGGGTTTAGTGACAGTTATATTTGAGTCGTCAATTGGTTTAGCACACCCACTTTTTTTTTTTTAGTCCATTTGAAAACAATGTGTTTCTTGTGAGTTTTTAACTATCGCTCATTAAGAAACAAGGTAGGAGGCCCAAAAAAAAAAAAAAAAAAAAAAAAAAGAACGAAAGGATTTTAAGAAATAAAAATTATTAAGAAAATCTATATACAGTATAAGTTTATATAAACACACACACACACCTACACATCTCAACAAGTACACTCTCAATGTACCAGTAAGAGTCTTTTCATAAGGTCCTATGTGAGGGACAATTAGAGCGAACATGATTGTAATCTCTATTCTAAACAAATCCTCAATGATTGGAGAGCATGACAGTGAAAGGAATACATCATAATTATATACTGTCGGATGTTTTCATGGATACGATTTAAAAGGCAACCATAGGAGATTTCAGAACATTATTTATATATATATATATATTTTTAGAAATTTATTAAAACATTTTATAAATATTGCAAGTCAATAAGTTGAATATTAAAAATGAAATTGGTAGAAAATCGCTAATAATAATGAAAATTTGTAAAGATGCCAAACTAATGAAGTTAACACTGAGTTTCCATATAAAAAAAAAATTAATACAACTCCTAATATATGTCAGACATATTTCAAAGGTCTATGACTGTAACGCTTTCATTAGAAAAGTTTTGTTTCTTGATTGTAAATAAAAGAAAAAGTGGTGAACATTATGGCTCGAATATGCCAGTACTGTTAACACCTGAATCTTTAAGACGGACATAGATACATAAATACATACAAAAGAAAAAAATGGACCAATGTTAACTGAAAAAATATATGAGAAATGTAGCCATAATGCCGTAATACGGTTAAAGTTATAAGAATGACTATCTTTACCTTGAAACAATCTGAAGGCTGACAGCCAGGTACCAACTGGTTGCTTTTCGGAACAGGTCCCCCCACCTCCTCGCATTTCTCGACATGTTTCATCACCGCCCACCCCCCCCTTCCCTCCTTCCAATTGTCCAAGCGATACTAGTCCATGTTCCCTTGGCTGATACTCTTTTATCTACACAGCTGCTATGGAGAACTATCTAATCTCTGTAATACCCAGAGTGCAATATTTCTCGAGCGAGAAACCAATACACCAAATGTTCAAAATATCATGGTAAAAAATAAGTTTCATACCTCTATATGACAGATTCTAAATTCGAAACATCAAACATAGAGTGACTTAGTTCTTAATGGCCAAACTGTGGGAGGTGATTCTCTGGAGACAAAATCTCCATCAAAAAATTTCATTTGATGTATGAGCCGATTTCGAACGGGAAAGATTTTTTTTTTTAGAACTTGTTTATTGAGAAATCTTATAATCTGTCTCAAAGGACATTTATAATAGTGTTCAGAGATCACATTCACACTCTATGTACAATAAATAAAAATAAATTAAACAGAGAAATTATATACATATATATATTACATTTAGGTTGAGAGAGTAGTGCAGGGATCTCTTGGAGGCATGCTTTTCCCTCCACAGTTGGAGAGACAAGCCTGGCCCGGAGTCCCCTCGCCTGTTTGTAAATAGTGTATGTAGGTATGTATGTTTTTTTTTTTAATTTATACATTTAATTTAATATATACAATAAATAAATTTAAAAAAAAAAACACATACATACCTACATACACTATTTACAAATAGGCGAGGGGACTCTGGGCCAGATTTGTCCCTCCAACTGTGGAGGGAAAAGCATGCCTCCAAGAGATCCCTGCACTACTCTCTCAACCGCTTCACTGGGGCTAAACCCAGTGTAGATTGAGCGAGAGCGACCTAGCCACATACACTCATGTCGTGAGTGGAGAATCTGGCCACTACCAGAACTCCAACATATTTAAGCTATAAGAGGTCTCGGGGCCACTGCCGTTTTAACCTTTTTGGAGGATTATAGGGATGGGTGGTGCTGGATAGGGATTGTGCAAGGGGATTCGGATGATATTTAAGGTTCCGGTGAAATTTGGAGAACTTTTCTGGGTTAAGGTCTAGGACATATGGCATATTAAGGTCATGGTGTAGGATTTTATTGGTTACCTAGAAGGGAGCATCAACTATTGTTCGAAGGACTTTGGACAGGAAGGATTGGATGCGTTTGATGTTAGAAAAGTAGAAAAGGATATTAGTCCAATTTTTTTCTTTTCTTAACGTGGTAACGTTTTCTCTTTCATAGGAAGCGATAACATAAAAATTATTTAATTCAGGTTATTAAAGATTGCTTCATCGTAAACTAGACAAAATTTCCTTTAAATACAAGCAGAGTTTGTCTTGGATAAGAGAACTTTTGACCGTGCAGACTGTTTTTCTTTATCATACTTTGTTTAAATGTTTTTGTCATCCTACAACTATACAACAGATGCTCCACTTTTATAAAAACTTCCTTATTTAATAAGCTATAATTGCGTATCAATTCGATTTCATATCAATCACATAAGAATATATATAATATATTATCAAATGAGGAGTGATATCAGTCATTACGATATTAAAAAAAAAAAAAAAATGCAAGTATTTCAAGATTTTATGAAAAACAGAACATAACGTAGTTGATCCCTTTACAAGTCCTATTTAAGTGGTTTAAACAAAATCTTATTTATTTTGTTTGAAGGACATTTTATCTAGTTTACTATGAAGCAAATTTTAACTACTTAAATTTCGTAGATTTCTATTCTACGAAAACCGTGGCTTACTTTAAAAAACACAAATCTTTAATTTCCTGATTTCATGTCGACAATCGGACCATGGTTTATATAAACTTTTGTTTATATATTTTTTTAATACATACAGTGTACTGTAATCCCTTTAAATATTTCCCCTTACTTATAGGCCATCCAGCAGACAAATATGCATTTATTAAATATACATATTCATGTATTTATACTTATATATATTCAAATATATAAAGACATATAGACAAGAACTGAGTCTGCAACTGGTGCATAATCACTTTATGTGATAAATTTGTTTATGAACAGTATTTATTTTTTTACATATTTGGGTTAGAAAAATGTTTATTTTAGTAATTAATTTGCCACAATACATCCCAAGGTCTCTGGGAAAAAATTAATTAAAGCTTTCTGATAATATATTGTAATTCTTTTTGCTAAAACTCTAGTCTGGGGTGACAGCATATCAAATCACTTAATTTTTTTACACTCCAGTTAGCCTCAACTTATTCGGTAACGAACCCCTTCATAATTAATAAGGAATGAAAGATTTTTTTTCTAAAATAATGTTATCTGTTGTAGTTGGTAATAAAACAAATTGCGACTAATCCACGATTTTTTATAAACCGATATTAAGCCGCTTAAATGCTCTCTTTAAATGGTTTGAGCAGATACAAAGCTACTGTGATTTTAAGAAAAAATTATCTATTTTACTATGAAATAATTTTTAATTACATTAGTTAAATATTATTTTAGTTATCGGTTTATATTTAACAAAAAGTGTGACACTTAAAAAAAACGAAAAACTATAATTTCCAACTCTTATTTGGGAAGTTGGACGATAGTTTATATAAACATTTTTGTAGCTCTTTAAAGTCTACTATCACCTCTTCAATAATTTCCTTTTACTTACGTGAAGCCGTAGATAGATTACATACAGATTACGTAAACCGAAATAGATTACATACAAAAATATATATTCGTATTCTAAATTCTTAAAGCGTCTATATTTTCTTTTTTTAGATCGCCGCTGATGAATGTTATTTTAAGTTCGCACGCATGACCAATGTTATCGAAAATATACGAGATTTTTATTTTATTTACATAACAAAAATATCATGGCCTGAAATCTTCTGAATGTGACAAGACTTTTCGAACCGATCTTCTATACTTATACGGTTGCGTCTTTAAATTATCTTAACAGTTGCGCACACAAAACAAAGTGTACCTTATTTCAGACCTAAACCCATTTCGAAAGAATAGTACTTGCAGGAGCATGGTGACACCTACGCTAGGAGTAGACTCATCTTCATCCTCGACCGGTTTATATTATTTTCAGGACAATCAAAAAGAAGAAACAAATATTATTTACTTCAGCACACAGGCGGATCTATGGGGGGGGGGGAGGAGGGCTTTCGGGCTGAAGCCCCCCCTAAATGGTAAAATATAACCATGTTTTACAGAAAAAAATACTAAAAACTATCTCTTAAAGTATTCTTGTTCGTTTAATTACATTTAATAGGACTTCAAGAACCACTTAAACATCATTTCGTAGTTAATTTCTTTCTTTTTTTTTTAATTAATCATTTTTATACTTATATGAAAAAAAATCTTTCGGGCTGAAGCCCCCCCAAAAAAAAATTAAATCCTGGATCCGCTAGTGCTTTAGCACAAAAATAAAAAGTTTCACTCGAAACTTGCAACCATCTGAATTCTGCAATCAAGCACGAACCTTTTTTTTTATGTGAGTCCCAGAAATTCAATTCCAGATTAGATAAGTTTAAAAAAAAAATGGCTGCTCAACTGGAGCGAATCGGCATTTCAAAGTTTCACAGTTAAAACGCTATTATACACAAATCTCCAGCTGTTATTAAAATTCAGCTGAAAACATTTCCCTATATCATCAAAACTTTCCTCTGTATGGGTAAAATCAAAGATGTTTTTTCTTTTTTTCTTAAACAGTATTGTGTTTCGTTCTAACTGTGACATTTTTATGCTGAGTTGCAATTATATTCAGAAAATATTATCATGCGATTTTTCTAATCATTCTGTTTAAAAGTTACTAATTAATTGATAATTTTAACAACTAATTGATGTAAACATCGAGTTGTAACTTCTGAATAACTCTCCGGTCTGACCAAACCGGCTAATAGGCGACAGCGGAGGGCATCAGAAGGTGCATGTAGATGTATCTTATATGTTAATACTCAGTGCATTTCTAACTTCACAACTTCATAATTAGTGGCACTAGAGTCATTTTACTTTTTCCAGAAAGCTATCGTTAAAGAGTCAGCCAATGTTTATTCGTAGCACAGCAGTTGCAGAATATAAGTCTGCATACACGTTGGCGCCGGTACACAGCGAGGCGAGTGTAGGGTTCTGTTGGACATCGAGATAAAAAATAATTTTGACTGAATGTTATTCACAGGAAGCACAACGAAATGAAGTTGAATTGGAGAATGATATCACTGAAATTTTGAAAAACACCACCAAATTGGCAAAAAAAAAATGTTTACATCCCTTCAGATAACGCACCTATATAACAAAATTTAAATTTTGCTGACTCTTTTTTGGAAATTTTAATGTTTTAAATATGTTTTACTTTCAATTTATTGTTAAATTTTACCTGATGTAATATAAATACTGTGTAAGGGCTAAAAATATACGTAAGAGGTTGAGGATCCCCCATTGTTATAAATAAAATAAAAAAATGTTAAACAAAAATTATTTAAAATTTTGTTCTGTTTATTTTTTTCATAAAAAAAAAAAGAAAAGAAAAAGTTAATATAATGAAATCATAACATGAAAAGCCTGAAACAGAAAATAAAATATATTAATGGTTAGAAACACTATTAAACCAAACTCTTCAAAATAATACAAATATGCAATTAGTAATGAAGTATACACAGCAGTGTTTGTATTTAAAAAGGATAAATAATTGACAATATTAAACAAAATAAATAAATAAAACACGTACGATTATAAAATTTATTTTTTTTTTTTAAAGGAAGGAGATGGCCGGGGTTGCGGTCATAAATAGGCTAAATAGTGGTAAAACTATTTTATTAAAAGCCGACGCTCCGACCCGACTTTGCAGGTCTTATTCAGGGCTAGAACGGACGAGATACAAAAAGATAGAGAATTGTGGCAGTTACATAATATTTAGACATAAGTTATAATAAATGTGAATAAGCTTATTAAAATTATAAACAGTAAGTACAATAAAATATGAACAAAGTAAG